GAGAGAGAGAGAGAGAGAGAGAGAGAGAGAGAGAGAGAGAGAGAAGAGGACCGCAGGGGAAAGTAAGGAGGGAGTGCGGGGATATTCTCGTTCGTGGGTGAGTCTACGACTACTTGCGGACACGAACGATGACAGCTGTGTGGAATATGGCGTATTAAGGGCTAGATATATAGGATGCGCGCCTTGGACTACACTACTAGATTGGGCGAAGAGAAATGATGGCAGTTTCACCGGCGACGTTTCATCGATATTTCAGGAGTTGCTCAACATTCCGCGTCACGGTGAAATAAGTTTCAGATGTGAATTAATGATGAAATCTCGCCTCTTCCCCTCTTTTCACTCCGAACTTCTTTTCCTCTCCGCGATTTCCGGCTCATCATCCGGAGGGTGGTCTTCCTCTCAGGCCAGGAATTAAGCCCGCAGACTCAAGTTCGCAGAGACATCGAAGTGTTAATTAAGCGCCGAGGGGGAGAGAAACAAAATGATGACTTCCGATTCGACTTTTGCCGATAGAAATTAGAAGCTTGGAACCGGACGGTCGGTCAGCGAGCGACTGAGAAATCGATATCAATTTGGGCGAGAAATTCCGAGAAGGGACGGCAGGAAAGCTCCGAGTGGGAACAAGGGTGATGAGGAGGCGGATTGTTAAGGGACGGTTAAGGGAAGTTCAGTTACAAGCTCGGAATCCCCGCCGGCAGTGTGACGGATCGCTATAACAGAAAGGCAAATAATTGCAATGAAATATGGCGCAGAGATGAGTGAATGTGACGTGTGGCGGTGAACAATGTGGTGACGTAAGCAGCTCTATCCACAGAGCGGCGATTCGACCGAGATGCTAACTTGTTGATACTGTAATGGAACGTGACGGGCTCTGCCGGTGAAACGGCGGCGGCCCGCTCGAGGGCCTTACGAGAGAGCCATTGCGATGCCACGCGAGAACAATGGTGATTCTTTTGTGTAGGGCAAACCGGGGCTATATGGCCCCAGGGATATGTTGCTCACGTGCATTTTTTAGTATTAATCTTGAGAGGAATAGTGGGTACAAAATTGCGAAATAGTTCTTTTAGAACATAAATACTTTTCTTTTATTAAAGTTAGAATAATATTGCAGTTAAGAAATAGAAAAGAAAATTGATTTGGTAATAGCAAAGTAAATTTTCGAGCCTCTTGAATTTTAATACTGGGATTTTAATACAAAAGGATTTAATTGACGAAATCAAAATTTGGTTAGAATGGGATTAATCAAACCAAATGTTTTTATTTATTTAATATAAATTATAATAAAAAAATTTAATTGCTGCTATCTTGCCTTATTTTCTCAGTTATATATTTGCTTAATCACTAGCAAAGCAAAATAACGGCAATTAATTTTTTGGTTGTAATTACTAAACATTTGGTTGATCCCATTTTAACCAAATTTTAATTTGTCAACCAAATCCTTTTTTCAGTGTATTCTCTATCGTGACTGAATAAAATTAAGCGAGGTATTATTGGCTAGAATGAAATTTCTTGGAAATATATGATATACTGTTTCTGGTAATAAATGCAACTTTCCCTCATAAAATGTTTGAAATATAGCATATGGACGGATGAGGTAAAGTTGGTTCATATTTAAGGGCCAGCAGGAGGGCTGTGGAGACCTCTCGCGGAGACTCTGGAACTACTAATTAGGATAATTAGGATATTTTATACGTGGCCTATGCTACTAGGTAACTGAACCCAGTACCAAGACAAGATGGCTATGTTGCTGCTTGTTCGTATTTTGATTATTATGAAACAAAATATACAGTTAACAGGGTCGTGGACATTACATACATAGAAGAAGGTTGCTTCTATCATGTCACATTCAGTCGCAACAATTAGTTGCCTGAGAAATTGTAACTTCGAAATTCTAAACCATAGGACATTTAGCCTTGGTCTCCACTACAGTCGAGAACGAAACGAACACTTTTTCGCAGGTGAAGTTGGTAAGTCATCCAATTGTCACACTTAAGAATCGCTGTTCACGGACTTGCGCAGTAATCAATTATGACAGCAGCCGAAATGACAATACACGTGGCGTGAAAATAAATTTCATTCATTTAAAGTAAAAATATATTAACACATTCAAGAGTATTGTGGGTCAAACAATTGCAATAATGGCGCTTGAGGAATTGAAAATCTTGTGTTTCATATAATAATAGATATTCGATAATCTCTAAACTGTAAATCTAGGAAAAATGTAAGTATGAAAAAATGTGAGAACTCTCTTTGTCCTTCTGCCTCTCGTATTACTTTCATCCTTATACTTTTTCTGGATTTTCAGTTTAGATTGTACCAATGGACAAAGTCTCTTATTATTTGAAGTACAAGATTCTTCAATTCTTCGCATCATTTTTCAATTCCAGCATCATTATTTCAACGGCTTAACGCAAAATACTCTTAGATATATTAGTGTGTTTTCATGTTGCTTTGATAAAATGTACTTTCGCGTCGAGTATTGTTATTTCGACTGCTGTCATAGCCGCGCAAGTCCGTGAGCAATGATTCTCAAATGTGACAACTAGATGGGTCACTAACTTTACTGGAAAAAAAGGTGTTCGAACCGTTTCGCTCTCGACAGTACAACATCGATTTCAAACCAGCAAAATAAAATTGCCGTCGCCTACATGACCGGTGTGTTTACGTTTGACGCTGCTTGTCGCATACCGACTGAACGGTCCAAGCCGCTTGAGCGTAAATATCCGTACCCGAAAGCACAATAATTCCCGCTTTGTATGTGAGTAGGAAACAATACTTTCAAAGAGCACTTAATAACAGAGACTGATCGATCAGTCTCGGTTTAATTTTCAATTGTTGTTGGTACATATTGAATTTGACTCACTCTCTTACATTGAGATACTCAAATCAAGCGATTGTTCTTTAATCCTCCCGCTACCAATTTTGTTTTTTAAAGACACAATTTTTTTTTACTTTCACTTCATTGAATATATTAATATATAACAAAGTTTTAGCAAAAAAATTTTAAATTTTATGTTTTTGAGAGGGCCTTCGATAAGCGACGCAGGTGCAGAGGTAGAACAATCTGAACAAAAAAATCTTCTACCATATTTCAAATTATTACGTACAATTTTGAATTATTAAGCAAAGTGAATTGGTAAATAGTCACGTATTATACAGTAGATGAGCTGCGATGTGACGTTTACCGACGTGTATGCTTGTGATCATTCACCAATCTTCTCTCATTAATAACTCAAAATTTTACGTCAGATTTTAGAAGACTTTTTGTTCAGATTGATGTGTTCTACACACACCGCGGCTCTGTCGTCAATTACTGGACATCCTGTATAAGCGCAATAACGATTAAGCTCCCGAGGAGCGTGTCGTAAGTAAATTTTACCGCGTGAGATCGTTTCTTCCTGCGCTAAGCTGACGCGTTCGCTCGAGTTTCCGTGTACCCGCAACAGTATCGAGAAGCGCTTACCGCATTTGCCATGAAATGCCACAGTGATGTTAGCACCTTTCGTACACGCGGCTCGATTTAGGTCGCACAGTGTCGGATAGTCGATGCCATCCGTGCCGCAGACATCGTTCGATCCCTCGTGGTTCCCTAAATTCGGGCAGGATTCCAGGCATTCGCAGGTCGCCTCGCTGTTCTTGCTCCGCACGCAGTGCGAGCCTTGCGAGCAGTTGAGCTTCGTGCACGGATCCTTGACCTCTGCAAAAGAGAGCAGACCGGAAGCCGTTCGAGATTAGTTTACGTTGAGATATAATTTTATTAAAACTTAATCATACTCGAAAGCAATCGTTCTTCTTGATTTTTCCTCAAACTTAATTAATTTACGATCAGGGTTGGGTAACAATGAGTTAAAAGTTGAGTTAAAGAGTTAGTAACTTGTAAACTAACTTAGTTAATTTTAAACGAGTCAATTATTAAATTAAACTAGTCATTCTCTCTTTAAAATGCATTAATTTTAACTTATATTAACTCTCTTTTATAAAAATAATTTATCAATGTTACAATCATTGCAGGCTGCGAACAAAGTAGAACAAGGAGAATAAAAAATATTGCCAGGAGAATTTTTCTTCGTTTTTCTAAGCGCCAAATGTTCTTTCCTTGGAATTTTGAACACAATAAGTCGATTATTTGTAAAAGACTTTTTCCGTTATGTTACATAAATTTATTATACAGTTAAAAATATAAACACATGTATTATATTTCCGTAACTAACTTTTAACTTTAATAAACTAATTCAATTTTAACTTAACTTTTGACTCAGTTTTTGTTCATGTAATCTTTAGCTTACTTTAACTAAACTAAGTTAACTACTTAATTTAACTAAGTTAATTTTACAAGCCATTATCTTTAAACTTGATTCAGTCAAAAAGAAAAATTAATTCACCCAACCCTGCTTACAATTCGTCCAAACGTTGCAACATTTCTTCATTAAATGCGTATATATTTATTTTCACATTATTTAGCGCTTTATTTAACGCTTATATCTATTATTTATTTTCGCATTATTTAGCGTTTATATCTATTATGCTCTTTTATTTCTTATTACGCTTTTATTTATTATACTACGATCTAAAATAGTTTCTGATCATATGTGCACGCATGTAACGTCTAGAATTGCCGTTAACGAAGATAAATGTTAATGAATTTATTAACAGGACGCTTCTCGTTGAATTTCCTGCTGCAGATAGACTCGCGTAGCGATCGCTCGATTTGATGATCATGAGACAAACTATCAAAGCGATGGTAGATGGAACGCGAGACTCGCATTGCGCAAGACGTCTGTTTCTCTCTCTCTTTCTCTCTCTCTTTCCTTCTCTCGCTCTGTATTATTTCGCCCGATAATGTGCACAGCGGAAACGAATTGGTAATAGTACGATAATCCGTTGACGAGAGCAGTTCGATGTTACGGTCAATCCCGTTGATGGAAGCCACTGACGGCGACGTTGAAGTAACGAGACGAAAGCCAATGACGAATAGGATCAATGCGTTTCACCGCGCGGTATGCTTGCCGAAGACAATCACGGCGATACGTAGAATTTAATGCTCTCATATTTGTGGATTGGAATTGTCGCATCCAGTTTACGACGGAAATGTCAAGTGGCGTGTAATCCTTCGTCTCTGGTGCATCCCGCGGAATGTACCCCGACACGTCCGCGGCTTCTCGACGTTCGCGTGTTATATCGACCCGCGAGCGGTTTCTTCTTCCGGACGCGCTGCAGTGCGATTATCTTTGTTAGGCTGGCAAAAAAATCGTAATGGTGATTGCACCAGAATCAAGGCCTGATTAGATGTTAATTCACTGCTGCATCCTCGACTTTAGTGTTCGAGCGGTTTAACGAAAACATATACATTGAAAATTAAGTAATTTACGTCAATCTAGCACCTTATGTATAAGACAACAAATAAATAGTCTTTCCCTCGAGCAAGTAACGTCAGTCAGCGGCAAGTTAAATGGATGAAATGTTTCCTAGAGCAAATAGTACAAGTTAATGATAAGTCAAAGAGTAGAAATTTTAAAGTTTTTCTGATCGGACAAAATAAAAAAAAGGTTAAATGAAATAAAAGTATCATATTTTTATATTACATTTGTTTTTTTATAAATATAACTACAAACGCGCAAGAAAGAACGATAAGTTAAACGGTATTGAAGTATTTACTGGAACAAGTAGTACAAGTCAATGATAAGTCAGATTATAGAAAATTTTCATAATATATGATACAACATAATGTAATACAATAATGTATTAATTTGATATATTATATATAGAGCATGACGAAATATAATACAATAACGTATTAGTTTAATATGATATATAATATAATATAATTTACAAAACACAGGAAACATTCTAATATTTAGAATATATTAAAATATCTTTATTTTTGATATGTCAATCTTCAAATGAGATTATACGTAGTGTTAAATGTCATTTTTTCATATATAAACAACGACATATAATTTTGTTGAAAAAACGTTAAATTTTTGAATTATAATAATGTTATAATTTAATTTGAATGTTATAATAATCTTATAAGAAGTACAATATGTGATTATTTTGGTGATAATGATGTATTTTCTTCCAATATTTGAAAATATATTCACAATTCAATATTTTTTGTATTTTGCATTAATAAAAATTATTTTTGAATAATAAGAATACAGGTTTTTCTTCATTGAATCATATAAAATAGATGTTTGCGAGTAACTTGTCTTGGTTACGTCATATAGTCTCATTTAAAGATTAACATGTCGAAAGGAAAGATGTTTTCCAGACCAGAATGCTCTTTTTCTGTGTTATAGCACAATTTTGGTGTAGCCCACTTTTGCAAAGAACTTTGTGAGAGAAAATATGATTTTAACGTGATTCTTACTGCAATATTTTCCCCTTATAGTTGAGAGGAGGATAGGAGGTGCTAAATTGACGTAATCCTCTTTTGTCATAATGCGCTGACCTCTCCGTCCGAATACACGATACATGCGCGCGTGAAAAAGCCGGTTTTTCGGCGTGACGTGCAACGGCAGCTGTGGCTGTGGCATTGACGGTGGCGTGTGCACGGTCGAAAAAATTCGCGGGGCTTAATCAATGATATTTTTCCTGTAACGCGAGTCCACACCCACCGGCCACCGGCCACCGTCGCCGGATGTAATTGCGGACTGTAAACATGGCGCGAACACGAGCGCGAGAGCGCGCGGCCGTAACGTGCCGTGAAATTAAATCCGCGCGATTCACGATGGATAAACTATCGCCCACCCGGGATTCATTCGCGACAAAATTTACGCGGCGCCGCATTTTTGGCGGGAAATGGACGCGTGGCGTCCCGGATCGCGATGCCGACGGCGGCAGCGGTGGCGATGGGCAGCGCATGGTGTGTAGTGGATCATTAATTGGCGGCGCGCGATCCCTAAGGGCCGTCACGAAAGAGAGAGTCCGTGGTTTTGTGCCTCGTGAAAATTTTATCGCGCGCGTACACGGGAGAAAATTCGCTGGCTCTCGGCTGAATATTTTCCACGGGTCGGCCGCGGCACGAAGCGTGCGCTCGTATAAACGACGAGATGCATTTCTCAAGGTAAGTGGAAGCGACGTTTTGCGCTCGCTCGCGGCATAAATCGTTGACACGTGACGCGGACGCGGCGGGAGCAGGCCGACCTGACGGCTCTTCACCGGATATCTTTTTCTCGAAATAGCGGAAGGGAGGAATCGCGTGCGTGCGTGCGTGCAAGGTAGAAGAGCGAGCGAAGCAGCTCTTTGGGAATATTTTTGCTTATCATTATTGAGTACCCGAAAACAGAAATTTTTCGATTTCTCTAAGTACAGCATAAATTCCAATAAGAACGCTCAAATTAGTCACAAAATTGGTTACTCCGTGATAATATCTATTGGAGATCCCCTTTTCTCATATTCTAAAGATGAGTTCTCTGTCTAGAATCGAAACAGAAATACTATGGAAATTCGCACTCTTTTCAATCGGTATACTTTTACGGTGTTAAACAGAGAATCCCATTTTTATATCAAATATTGTATTTAATAGAATAAAAATATAAAAAAAATGCTTTGAAACACTGTATGAGTTATTATATTATGAATAATAATGAAATATATTTTAGTTTACTAAATTTAATTTTACTAAATAATGAAATTATTTGAAAAAATAATATATATGCGTGTGTTTTATTTAAAATTAAAAAATGTGAAAGGTTGAAAAAATGATATTGGGAAAACTTGAGATTTTTCATTTAGTATCGCATGTTTGAAACATTATCCGCATAGAAAATTTTCTGGTATCTAATTGGAGTACATTTCAATTTCCCCCAAAAATTATGAGTTCTGGTTGAGAAATCAGAAAATTTAAATTAATGTAATGTGTGGATTTGTTTGGATAAGTGTAATGTTTTAAAAATGTGATTCCAAGTAAAAAATCCCAATAGATCCTATTTTCTTTATCATTTTTCTAAAGTATAAAAAAAGTTTTATATAAAGATGATTATACAGTCTAAATTTTAAGAACAATAGATTTTACATTTCTATATAAATCATGATTATAAAAGTACTAATTACTACTTTGTTATTCTTTGTGTTTCCTATCTTCCTTTCACCCTTTCCGGGCAACTTTTCTTCTGTCTTTGGGTTTTCCACTTAGAATCACAATTACAATTATTTAAAAAATCAAAGTAGATTTCAGTTAGATTCCATAAAATTTTCTGTATTTGGGATAAGAATAGTTTCCACTTAGTATCGCAATACGGTACCCCTATTTGGAACAAGTTTAGATAATCTGATCGGAATCTATACTACAGTACAATGTTTGGGGAATTTCCATACGGGTAAACGCGACACGAAAATGCGTTCCTCTATCTATCTCACTATCTCTCTCTTCCTCTTCCGCTATTTCGCGTAGACCACATTGTTGCCCAAAAAGTTGCCTCGCTAAATTAGCGGCCGTTAGTTTCGCGTTGCGCGAGACGTTGCACACACGTTACACGCGCTCCACTTCGAGCTGCGATCGAAGAGAAAATGAGCGCCCGCCACCCGTCGCAAATATCCACGCGCGGACTCATAACTCGCGCTTCACTTCACAGCACGCTAAAAGGACTGACAACAGCCCCTTCTCGCGTTCTCGTTAATTTGCCAGACGCGCATAGACGCGCCGAAGTTCCTTGCGCGGAGAAGTTTCGATACTTTTCGTGAGCGAGCAATCCA